TGTCTCTCCACTCGTATCGAGTACAGATAGCTTGCTTTGGCATGGATTCGAGCTCTCGTGATGCATTCCAGCGAATACATTGCACAAATCTGTTTAATCTCGTTGAACAGCAGCCATTGTTTATTCTCTGTGGTACTGTTGCACAGTTTCGAATTAATCTGGCAGTTTTCGTTTAATGCAAATATTCCATGGAATTTAATGATAAACCAAATAATTATTTTTGGTAATACGTATATAATTCAACTTTTACCGAGTGACTCCAGAGCGAAAGTTTAGGCTTGAAAGTAAAAGCAGCGACCAGAACGTTCGAAGTAATGCACAAAGCGCACAATAACGTTTGATAACGTAAAAAGGAGTACACCGTCGAAACAAAATTTTTATTTAAAAACACGACACAGGATAAACGTTGAACATGATATCTGAAATAATCGGCCGATAGCTGGGATGCACCGTATTGATCAACATGGGCTACACAGCCGGGCACAACAATATTGAAAAAATCATTCGCCGAACGATACCCAAAATGACAGGACCCTCCCGTTCGAAAAACAGCTTGCTGCAAATATAAACCACCGCGGGCATTGGAATATCGAACGTATAAAATGCACTGGAACCGTGAAATTCGCGCTGATAAAAAAGATACGGGCAAACGGACTAGATATACATTATTTCTGGCAAAAAATGAAACTGGAAACAACAAGAAATACCTGGAAATCAAGAATATAGGGAAGAAGCTCTTTCTAGATCGGTCGAAGTCGTTTATTTTCTATACGTAAGGGTTAATAAATCTTCCGATCCAGGAATTTGTTCTCCGTATCGTTTCCTGTTTGGTCCGCGATTACCCGTATTTAATCGCGGTCGTAACGAACTTTTTCCGTCCCGCCATTTATTCGGCCCTTTGTCCCCGGTCCGCTTGAATATTTATCGAAGTGAAACCGAGACGGATTTAATAAATACGTTATGATTTAATCGTGAGCTCGGAGAGCGGGAAGCCAGGTCGAGGGGGTTCGAGATTACGCGACCGAGGGAAAAGCCCAGGAGCGAGGGGCCGAAGAACCGCAGGTTATAAAAGAAACGAAACAAATCCTGGTTAAAGGGCTGATGAAGGATCCGGGGGGTAGAGGCGGGCGAAAGGACACGCGGAGGATTCGAATTACGGTATCGCTTAAATTCAGCTGTCTTCCGTGCGAAATTAAAAGAACAACTCGTCCCGCCTCCGGTGGACTCCGTCTTTCTCCCCGAGGCTCTATTCAGCTCCTCCGGCGGAATCGCGCTATTTTCATAACGCGAAAGGGCGGCGCGCGCGCGCTGAAAAGCACCGGCGAGAGAACCGCTCCCGCGCCGCGGCTTATTTAAAATCCACCGGCCCGTATCTCCAGGAGCTGTTTATCTCGAACGTGTTTACATTAAGCGAAGTTTCTCGTCCGCGATAGAAAATCTTACGCGGGAGACTCGGTGCCCGCGACGCGCATATTCCCGATGCGCCTTTAATATCCGTCTGGTTGTTGCGAGTTTATAGTCGAGACAAAATATGAATGAAACTTCAAATTTCGAGAACCACCACCCCACTTCGCCTTATAAATATGAAATTCGCCGGATGAACAGGTATTTTTCCGAAGTTTCGTCCATGGTCTTGGAAAACATTTTCAACGGACCACCGCTGATAGAATAAACCAACCAACGACGTTTTTTAAGAAATCTACCCGCGTCCAGTGCGAGAATCATGGTGGTCGATCTTAAAAGTTGAAACGATAATTGTTCGCGGTGAAACGGTTCGAGTTTCCCGCCGGTCGCGGTACAATATCCTTTATCTCGGTACAGTTTGTACGGTTATCAGGAGCGAACGTGCGCGGTAACTGCTCGCGGGCAGAGATTCCCCGCGACCAGACGGGAAAACATTCCCACAAAAGAAACCCGGCCGCGAACGTCGAACGCCGGATCCTTCCGCGGCCGAGATAATGTTAATATCCGGCTCGGTTTTCTAATTGCCAATTATTTCAGCTCATTCCGCGCTTTGTTCCACGACGTTACAGTCCGCGTTCCCCACTCCGGGATTCCCCGAAGAACCCAACCGCTCTCTCGCAACCGTCCTTTATGCAATCGTCTCGCGCTACCTCCCCGTCTCGACTCTTGCTCGCGTTCCTACCTGGAAAAACTGCACTTAACGAACGGCCAGATTTCCCGCTCGGGATCAGATTCTCATCCGATCTCTTCCCAACGGGGGGACAACATTTTAAAAGTTTCCTCTTTCTTACTGGCTTTCGTTCTATGCATTCTCGAAGGTCAACGAACTCTGGCGAATTAAATTTCTAGGGCGAGAGACAGTCAAAGTTAAAAAATAAATGTACGATCGATCGTAAGGACGGTCGAGTTTATTTTTTATAGAGAAGCAACCGCAAAACTTCTTTCCGAGCAACCCTTCCTGGTGCGGTTCGAGACCCGGAGGAATTTCAGCTCGGTTGCGCGATATAACCGGGCGAGCGTTTCTCTCTTTTTCCCCGAAACGTTAAAGAATAAACGCCAGGTCGGGTGGCGGGCAAACAGACTGCAGCGAAAGGGGACAGATTAAACGCGATAATACGCAGAGTCCCGATATCTTTTTGGCTCGCCACCCCGACGCGCCCGCCGAGCCACGGCTCTGATCCCTCTTCTCGTTATCCATTTTCCCTGGCCAGGGCAACGTTTAGTGCTTTGCCCGGTTCCACGCCAGTCGCAAGCCCGGCTCCACAAATTTTCCAAAACACCGATATAAATCGTTTGATAACGCGTCTGGCCGTGGGCGTCGATATACATAGACCTCTCGCGGCTCGCTGGAGGGCGGTCGCGGGAAATCGGGGGCGAAAAAGGTGAAAAGGGGGAGACGGAGCGAGAAAAAAGCAACGGGAGGGGGGGGGGTGGGGCTGGAGATAGAGGCGAGCCTGTGGAAATTTGGCGGAACGCCAGCTGCGGGGGCCACGGTGCTGGAAGGTGCGCATAAACAACGCCGCGTATACCCCTCGATCACCAGGCGTGTCGGTTTACGCGGCTGATATCGCTAATTGCAAAAACTACCCTCGCCAAACGTCATCCAGCCCCGTGTAACTTTTTAACGCCATCGACACAAGGTTTTCCACCCTCGTAGACCTGGTAATTCTCCGAAATTCTTTGAAGATGACATCAAAAAGTTAATCGTTGGGGAAAAGGTAAGATCCATCTCTGATATTCTCCCAGTGACCTCGTATTATCATCTCTGGGCGAAAGAAACGTATCGTCGTCGTCGCGGAATCGATATTCGCGGTTCCTCGTCCCGGAAACGTTGGGAGCAGGACGCCAACTATATGATTTACTGCGGTAAAACACCGTCCCCGGCGGGCAGAAATCCTGACGCAGTTTCTCCTTGAGGAAACATTTTTAAAAGGCGTGCAACGATGCGCGAGGCTCACGGTAATTAAGCATTTGGACTGCACGGTGGGTCCGCGGACAGCGGGTAAAAAATTAAACAAATACAGGACGTCCGGCAGGGGGGGGGGAGGCGGAGGGTGGATGGTCGGACCCAGCTGTGGATACCGTGGGCAGAGCTTGCACAAACACAAAAGCTCACAGCTGAAGACAAACAGCGGAACTGTAAGCTACGACGTAGCTCGGGGCGATGCGGCCTCTGTGCCAACCAACGGAGGCGAACGCATTCGGGACGAAAGGGGGATGCACGTAGCGAGACGACCATAACGCCAACGCCTAATCGCTCAACCGTATAATAAAACCCGATGGTTTAATGGTTACCGAGATAACAACGGTATTATTACGAAATATCGGTATGACGCGAACGCGTGAAACGTGTTAATATGTAAATAATAATTTGTGTAACGAGGAGCCAGATCCCCAGACTGCACGTTGCGCAAACAATTAAACACGCGAGTACCGATGAAATCAAACTAAAAGGGAGGAGAAGTGCAAAGGGTAGGTGAATAAAAGATACGGTTTGAAAGCGTACCAGGGTTGCTGAAACACGGATTTCTGAGGGAACTGTAGTTCTAGTAACGAGAGTATAAGTAGGAATGTAGAAGTATGACGAAGCGGAGTAGAAACAGATGACTCTGAATGGGTGGGATGAGAATTAGTGGAGTGGTGCGAACGAGAACCAGTGTTAAGGATCTCGTGGATTGCTGTATCAAGCAAAGATACGTACAAAAATAGAAAGTATAGCGAAGTTTGCAACTGCTTGACTATTTCTGTGGGCTGCTGTGGGTGTTCTATTTTCGTCTAGCGTATCGAGATGCGTTTTTCGGGGAAGAAAGATGGCTGGATCCGTATCGTTCCACACGACGGCGCGGAACCCTTGATATCCGGATCGAGGCGAAACGATAACGCGACACATCGCGTTTTTATGAATGAAACGACTTTTCTCCATAGATTTCCGGGATTTTTCACGGCTAGTGTAACCTAAGCGCCTTTGATCGTTCAACGTTGATAGCGGCAATAGCTGCAATAGCGTTGATATCAGCGATATTCGATTTTCCGGCAGAATGGCCATCGCGTTTCCTGTCGTTTCTAAAAAAAACACAACCAGAGCACCCCGTCCCCTCGTCGAGCGCGGTTTTTGTACGATGTAAGCGCGAACAGGTGGGTGGATCGGGCCAACCGAAAGCTCATCACCGGCTGCACGTGGCCACCTACGCCAATAATTCGGGATATCCGTGGAAACCACCTAATTATAATATTTACCAGGACAGATCCGTTAGTCCGTAGCAAGTTTCCTATTATAATATTACCGGAACCGAGAGCTATTTACGAATTAAATTCAATGGATGTTCGGGGGGTTGTTATTAGAACGAAAGTTTCCCCCTGATCGTTTCGAGGAAACGCCTTAATTGTTGCGCGCCTGATTGTTTCTATAAGCTCTTCCATAATGTGCGGTTGAACTCAACGGAACTAAGCTGCTTATGGGAGCCATTAAAGCGACGTTTTCATAGGAACGCTCCACCCGATCTGGGTCAAAGTAGTACGACTTTTTTTCGACTCACCTATTGTTCGTAGCGCTGGAGAGGTCGGCGATTGTCCTGCAACAAAAGTTTACACGTCAGATCTACGAATTATCAATTTCCAACCGTCTTCGTGATAACACCGAAAACAGTAAATTAGTTTAAAGCTGACCAGGGGATAATTTATTGCGTCTAATCTAGCCTCGTCGCTTAACTCGCAACTGGGTTAGCGAACGCGAGCTCATCATCCACGGGAAGCCATGTACTTTCCAACTACGTGACGTAACTAAATTTGCGATACTTCCGGAAAATCCGTAGCGTTGATAATTAACCGAATTAACGAATGCTAGGAGCTTCTCGTTCGAGCGAACCTTCCATTAGAAATGTCCAAATCTATCGGTGTCGACTGTTTTCTGCGTGTGTCCGACTTATTACGTATCCTTACTACTTGAATTACCGCGTCTGACCAAACGTCGATCCCTACTACTGAATATCGAAAGAAGGCTTAGAAAAATTCTTAAAAAATTCATTTGACTGTATCAAACCATCACGCAACGATACGAACAATGTAAAAAATCATATTGCATTCGTTTGGAGTACCCTAAAGGGGAAATATAAAAATGTGTGAAGCCTGATTCCGCGTAAGGAGCTTAGCAAACAAAGCGGATCTAATTAGCGGACGCGTACACGGGATCAACAGCTAGCCAGTTACAGGCTAATTGCCGGTCAATTAGTCACGGCGTAAATATTACGCGGCGGCGATTATCTGTCGTCGAGTCATTAATCGCGTCAAACATTGTGGCACCGGGTATAGTTCGAACTTGCAGCCGGATGGAAACAGGGGCCGGAGATGAAAGAAACCGATAATTTTATTTTCTGGCCCGGCGCCGGTATTCTGAACGATTATCCGACGAATTTATCGCGCGCATATCTCGCGGTCGAAGCGAGCGCGTATAATTTATTGTCACTTCGCGTTCCGAAAAATGCCTTTACCGATTCATCCGCAGATGCATAAAAACCACGCGGCCCATACGTTACGTTGGTTCGGCCTCGTGTTCCCGTTTCACGCACACGCGAACGCCACTGTTATAAACCATTTTTTAAAACGAACTCCAGGGCGATCCAGCAATTACGGTCCGTTCTTATAAATAACCAAATCCAATTGTTGTCGAACCGGTGTCCCTCGACGCGACAACGTATTGCTATTTACGCGAGCACGACGGATTCGCAAGAAAAGCTGGAAAGTTCAACAGGGAGCTCGAAAGTCGAGGAACGATAAGGGTCTATCGTCAGTCTAGACAATGTACTCGGAAGGCAGCCTCTGTCCTCGATTGGTGCGATTCCGCTTCGTGGACCAAGTCCTTGAAACTAGACGAAAGATAGGAGACAGGATATTGTTTTCTCGCTATCTAAACGTAACTACGGACAACTGGACGGGGTAAAGAGGAACTAGGTTTCACCCGACTATTACGTAGACGTCAGACCGACCAAATGGTTAGCGTTGAACAGAGAGAGACTTGAACAGAAGTAACGCCCACGTAAATAAAGGGAAATAAATGTTGGATAAATCTATGGACGATAGACACTTTTAAAGTTAAATTTTTTTTAATTTATTTCCCCTTTTCTAGTCTGTTTACGTATGTGTGTCTATGCCGCCACGAATCTCAGGAACGATTTGTAGCGAAATTTCTCTAAAAAGGAATGAAAGTTTCAGCGGTTCAAAGTGAAAAACTTCGACGCGTAGGAAACTAATATCGAGAAAATTCTGCCTCGCTTTTCTTTCTGAAAGCGTTCGACCGCTGATACTTTTATCTCGGAGCAGGAAGCGCGCATCGATTACTGGGAAACGAGCACGGCAATCGTCCTTTGAATCGCGACTCGACCCACGCGGAAAATACATAATCGTCGTGAAATAGGCTTTAAAGTAAATCGCGATCCCGGCCGGGGAGATACTCGACGGTATCGTTGAACGCGGGTACGCAAAGTAAGACTTTTTCGCGTGCACTTTAGACGTTTCCGCTGCGCCGGGTATGAAGCTATTTATGAATCCCCACCCCCCTCTGCCCCCCCCCCTCCAGCCGCGGGGGCGAGAGTAATTTTTTTTCTCCCGTAAATATAACGTCAAACCTTTGAGCCTTGAAGAGACGCTCAAGAAATCCGTAATGCGGGCCTCCACAATGAAGTGGCCGGGCGCAGTATCGTTAAGAACCGAGTGCAATAAAATTAACAACTGACGTGAAGGACGCTTCGCTAACTTCTTTACGTGAACTTTTTCGTGAATGTATTCATGACGGTAAGATTGCGTTATTTTAAGACGCTGCTTTGACTCCTCGGAGTCGCGCGAAGAAGAAAATTTATACGCGCGCCTTAGAGACGACCCGGAGATTCATACGTTCAGAATGCTGTTACGCGTAGCGCACCAATCGTTCCCAGACTCGAATAAAATTAGTTAACGTGCGCTCGAGAGACTCGTTTTAAAAGACACTCTCGCTTTTCAAGACGTTCTGCTCCGTTAAATTGTTTACGTGCAAGCAACGCGTACCGATTTACCTCTTTATAATTATTTTTTTATTAACATTAAGTTATTAAGATTGGTAAAAAATGTTGAAGCTTTCAACTATCCAAACTGTATCCTCCTCTTCTATTTTCCAATCTTAAATTTCCGTTCTTCATTTCCTACTTTGCATTTTGTACTTCCCTCTCGTCCATTTTCTTCCCATTTCCCCTTTTAAATTTATCCTTTTTGCATCTTCCTTTACCAATTTCCTTTCCTCCTCCACTGTGTAACGTGTCGTTATCTTTAATAAACTTGATGATAATAAATAATTCTCTTCGAATCGATATACAGTAGAGCTCCAATTATCCAGAATGTTTCGGCGAAAAGAAAAATTTTCTAATCGTTCTAAAAAATTTATTTTTAGTTGCGAGGGTCCATTACAAATATTTTTGTTGGATACACATACCCTTGAAATCCTACACACTTTCGAGAAAAAAATTAATTACTGAAAATGCCTGACCAGGCGTTGACCTATTCCCCTGAAATTTTTCGGCGAAATTGAAAAGTTTCAAATCACCCTGGAAAAATTATTTTCGATTGCAGGGGTCAATTCCTATCATTTTTGGTGAATACACATACCCCTGAATTCCTACCCACTTTCTAGAAAAAAATTCGAGAAGGTGTGACATTTTTCAACGGGGAAAAAAAATTTCAAATCGTTCTGAAAAAATTATTTTCGGTCGCAGGGGTCAATTACGATCATTTTTGGTGAATACATATACCCCCAAAATCCTACCCACTTTCTAGAAAAAAATTCGAGAAGGTGTGACATTTTTCAACGGGGAATAAAAATTTCAAATCGTTCTGAAAAAATTATTTTCGGTCGCGGGAGTCAATTACCATAATTTTTGGTGAATACACATACCCTCGAAATCCTACGCACTTTCAAGAAAAAAATTAATTACTGAGAATGTTTGACCAGGCGTTGACCTATTCCCCTGAAATTTTTCGGCGAAATTGAAAAGTTTCAAATCACTCTGGAAAAATTATTTTCGATCGCAGGGATCAATTGCTATCATTTTTGGTGAATACACATACCCCTGAATTCCTACCCACTTTCTAGAAAAAAATTCGAGAAGGTGTGAAAGTTTTCAACGGGAAAAACTCTTTTGTTCATTTCTGTAACTTGAACATGTAATGGTAAATCAAGTAGCACAGTACTATTTTCAGTCGGACATAAGTAAAGTAGTACAGTATTGTATTCGGTCGGACATCAGTAAAGTAGTACAGTACTATTTTCAGTCCGACGTAAGTAAAGTGATACAGTATTATATTCGGTCAGACCACGGTGAAGTAGTACAGTACCACATGCAGTCAGACACTTGCACTATATATAATTGTTAATAGTAAAAGTTTTTAAATTAACAAAGAATTGAGAAATATATTCATATTTCACTTTCAAACATGTTCCATTAACTACCAATGAGTGTTGAATTTCTGATTTTCATGCTGCATTTTCGCACATATATAATTAAAATGTTATAAACAAATATCATTCTACGTCAAACAAATGCTACGTTATTTGTCCCCAGGAACAAATTTAGTTCGTGTACGAAATACAAGATTAGGTGCCATGGAAGAGTCACCATACAATGTTTGGTTTCCACTTTTCCCTCTATTTTTACCCGTCCTTGTCCCGCAAAGCTCTGTCCGCGTCAATTTCATTAAGAAATCGTGTACAATACAGAATAGCTGACAATAAAGCACGTCCCCGTGTCGCGGTGATGCCATTTTAAACTAAACAATGCACAAAAGAAATTCATGTATCGTTAGGATCCGGGCCGTTGCCGTTACAGGGGATTCGAGTCGACAAATAAAACGAGAGAACGTGAAAGACCCCATTTTTCAAATTTTTTTTTTTTCCTCGAAACCTCCGGTATCCGTGTCGATGCAAATTGGATGTTCTAGCGTGTTGAATAATCGACAGGGTTTTGTCGCCGCGGCACCGCCCGAGGTGCTATTCACTAACAAGATGTCAATGCTTCGAGTACGCGCGCCAGAAACAGAAACGCGAAACGAGTTTCAGCCTTTTCTCGTAACCCGTCGATAGAATTATGAGAACACGAGCCGCCGTAACACTCTAATAAATACCGGTTCAAACTGTTTAAAGTACACGTCGAATTCGCCCGTGTTTCGCGGGGGCATTATAGATCCCAAAATTTAATTCCAAATATAATTCCGCGGGAAAAACTTTTCATCGCGAAACTGCCGTTATTCGTAACAATACGGTTCTTTCGTTAAATTCGTTTCGTTAAACCGGTGTGTTTACACAATTAAAATCGTATAAACGCGAATGTAGGACACATTTTATCTAATTCGTTATGCGAACTAATAAGAGGACACGATAAGGATCGTTTCGCGTTACGGAACGATAAGGAGCGTTTTATACTCGATGTAAGAATAAAGGGTCTTTTTTTTTAGAATATAAATCACGCGCCTTCCGGAAATTTCGCGGTCGAGGAGTTCGATAAAATTCCATAAATTTGATAAAATTGCTGGGACAACGTAATTGCGGCCCGAT